TGTGGCTGCAGGTGTTGGAGGATTTGTTGAGGTAGTTGTTGTGGGTTCTGGCGTTGTTGTTGGTTCAGGTGTGGGTGTTGTTGTGGGTTCTAGTGTTGTTGTTGGTGCAGGTGTTGGAGGATTTATTGTGGTGGTTGTTGTGGGTTCTGGCGTTGTTGTTGGTGCAGGTGTGGGTGTTGTTGGAGGATTTGTTGTGGTAGTTGTTGTGGGTTCTGGTGTTGTTGTGGCTGCAGGTGTTGGAGGATTTGTTGTGGTAGTTGTTGTGGGTTCTGGCGTTGTTGTTGGTGCAGGTGTTGGAGGATTTGTTGTGGTGGTTGTTGTGGGTTCTGTCGTTGTTGTTGGTGCAGGTGTGGGTGTTGTTGTGGGTTCTGGTGTTGTTGTGGCTGCAGGTGTTGGAGGATTTGTTGTGGTAGTTGTTGTGGGTTCTGGCGTTGTTGTTGGTGCAGGTGTGGGTGTTGTTGTGGGTTCTGGCGTTGTTGTTGGTGCAGGTGTGGGTGTTGTTGTGGCTGCAGGTGTTGGAGGATTTGTTGTGGTAGTTGTTGTGGGTTCTGGTGTTGTTGTGGCTGCAGGTGTTGGAGGATTTGTTGTGGTAGTTGTTGTGGGTTCTGGCGTTGTTGTTGGTGCAGGTGTTGGAGGATTTGTTGTGGTAGTTGTTGTGGGTTCTGGCGTTGTTGTTGGTGCAGGTGTGGGTGTTGTTGTGGGTTCTGGTGTTGTTGTTGGTGCAGGTGTGGGTGTTGTTGTGGGTTCTGGTGTTGTTGTGGCTGCAGGTGTTGGAGGATTTGTTGTGGTAGTTGTTGTGGGTTCTGGTGTTGTTGTGGCTGCAGAAGTTGGAGGATTTGTTGTGGTAGTTGTTGTGGGTTCTGGCGTTGTTGTTGGTTCAGGTGTGGGTGTTGTTGTGGGTTCTAGTGTTGTTGTTGGTGCAGGTGTTGGAGGATTTATTGTGGTGGTTGTTGTGGGTTCTGGCGTTGTTGTTGGTGCAGGTGTGGGTGTTGTTGTGGGTTCTGGTGTTGTTGTGGCTGCAGGTGTTGGAGGATTTGTTGTGGTAGTTGTTGTGGGTTCTAGCGTTGTTGTTGGTGCAGGTGTTGGAGGATTTGTTGTGGTAGTTGTTGTGGGTTCTGGCGTTGTTGTTGGTTCAGGTGTGGGTGTTGTTGTGGGTTCTGTCGTTGTTGTTGGTGCAGGTGTGGGTGTTGTTGTGGGTTCTAGTGTTGTTGTGGCTGCAGGTGTTGGAGGATTTGTTGTGGTAGTTGTTGTGGGTTCTGGCGTTGTTGTTTGTTCTGGTGTTGTTGTTGGTGCAGGTGTGGGTGTTGTTGTGGGTTCTGGCGTTGTTGTTGGTGCAGGTGTTGGAGGATTTGTTGTGGTAGTTGTTGTGGGTTCTGGTGTTGTTGTGGCTGCAGGTGTTGGAGGATTTGTTGTGGTAGTTGTTGTGGGTTCTGGCGTTGTTGTTGGTGCAGTTGTGGGTGTTGTTGTTGGTGCAGTTGTGGGTGTTGTTGTGGGTTCTGGTGTTGTTGTGGCTGCAGGTGTTGGAGGATTTGTTGTGGTAGTTGTTGTGGGTTCTGGTGTTGTTGTTGATGCAGGTGTGGTAGTTGTTGTGGGTTCTGGCGTTGTTGTTGGTTCAGGTGTGGGTGTTGTTGTGGGTTCTGGCGTTGTTGTTGGTGCAGGTGTTGGAGGATTTGTTGTGGTAGTTGTTGTGGGTTCTGGCGTTGTTGTTGGTTCTGGTGTTGTTGTTGGTGCAGGTGTGGGTGTTGTTGTGGCTGCAGGTGTTGGAGGATTTATTGTGGTGGTTGTTGTGGGCTCTGGTGTTGTTGGTGCAGGTGTGGATGTTGTTGTGGGTTCTGGTGTTGTTGTTGGTGCAGGTGTTGGAGGATTTGTTGTGGTAGTTGTTGTGGGTTCTGGCGTTGTTGTGGCTGCAGGTGTTGGAGGATTTGTTGTGGTAGTTGTTGTGGGTTCTGGCGTTGTTGTTGGTTCAGGTGTGGGTGTTGTTGTTGGTTCTTGCGTTGTTGTTGGTGCAGGTGTGGGTGCTGTTGTAGGAACTATTGTGGTTGTTGTTGTGGGTTCTGGTGTTGTTGTTGGTGCAGGTGTGGGTGTTGTTGTAGGAACTATTGTGGTGGTTGTTGTGGGTTCTGGCGTTGTTGTTGGTTCAGGTGTGGGTGTTGTTGTAGGAACTATTGTGGTTGTTGTTGTGGGTTCTGGCGTTGTTGTTGGTGCAGGTGTGGGTGTTGTTGTGGGTTCTGGCGTTGTTGTTGGTGCAGGTGTTGGGGGATTTGTTGTGGTGGTTGTTGTGGGTTCTGGTGTTGTTGTGGCTGCAGGTGTTGTTATAGGATTTATTGTGGTGGTTGTTGTGGGTTCTGGCATTGTTGTTGGTGCAGGTGTGGGTGCTGTTGTGGTTTCTGGTGTTGTTGTGGCTGCAGGTGTTGTAGGAATTATTGTGGTGGTTGTTGTGGGTTCTGGTATTGTTGGTGCAGGTGTGGTTTCTGGTGTTGTTGTGGGTTCTGGTATTGTTGTTGGTTCAGGTGTGGTTTCTGTTGTTGTTGTTGTGGGTTCTGGTATTGTTGTTGGTGCAGGTGTGATTTCTGGTGTTGTTGTGGGTTCTGGTGTTGTTGTTGGTGCAGGTGTGGTTTCTGGTGTTGTTGTGGGTTCTGGTATTGTTGTTGGTGCAGGTGTGGTTTCTGGTGTTGTTGTGGGTTCTGGTATTGTTGTTGGTGCAGGTGTGGTTTCTGGTGTTGTTGTGGGTTCTGGTATTGTTGTTGGTGCAGGTGTGGTTTCTGGTGTTGTTGTGGGTTCTGGTGTTGTTGTTGGTGCAGGTGTGGTTTCTGGTGTTGTTGTGGGTTCTGGTATTGTTGTTGGTGCAGGTGTGGTTTCTGGTGTTGTTGTGGGTTCTGGTGTTGTTGTTGATGCAGGTGTGGTTGTTGTGGTTACTGTTGTAGGTTTTGTTGTTGAAGTTGTTGAAGGTATTGTTGTAGGTGTTGTTGGAGATTTTGTGGTTGTGCGTGTTGTTGTAGGTGTTGTTGGAGATTTTGTGGTTGTGCGTGTTGTTGTAGGTGTTGTTAGAGATTTTGTGGTTGTGCGTGTTGTAGGTGTTGTTAGAGATTTTGTGGTTGTGCGTGTTGTTGTAGGTGTTGTTGGAGATTTAGTTGTTGTGAGTGTTGTTGTAGGTGTTGTTGGAGATTTCGTGGTTGTGCGTGTTGTTGTAGGTGTTGTCGGAGATTTTGTGGTTGTGCGTGTTGTTGTAGGTGTTGTTGGAGATTTTGTGGTTGTGCGTGTTGTTGTAGGTGTTGTTAGAGATTTCGTGGTTGTGCGTGTTGTTGTAGGTGTTGTTAGAGATTTTGTGGTTGTGCGTGTTGTAGGTGTTGTTGGAGATTTTGTGGTTGTGCGTGTTGTAGGTGTTGTTGGAGATTTAGTGGTTGTGCGTGTTGTAGGTGTTGTTAGAGATTTTGTGGTTGTGCGTGTTGTAGGTGTTGTTAGAGATTTTGTGGTTGTGCGTGTTGTGGTAAGTGTTGTTGGAGATTTTGTGGTTGTACGTGTTGTTGTAGGTGTTGTTAGAGATTTTGTGGTTGTACGTGTTGTTGTAGGTGTTGTTGGAGATTTTGTTGTTGTAGGTGTTGTTGGAGATTTTGTTGTTGTGCGTGTTGTTGTAGGTGTTGTTGTCTGCTTTGTTGTGGATGTTGTTGTAGATGTTGCTGCAGCAATAACACTGCGTCTGTTTCTGATGAAACTGATTGGAAATCTTTCCACTGAAGGTTGATCGGTGTAGGACAGAGTTATCTTGCGAATGGGGAAATCCTCCAGTACCAGCTCAAATGAATAAACTCCAGGGACCAGGGTTTGTTCATAGGACAGAGAGCAGTTATTCTACATTTTAAAGAAAATAAAAACTTTTATGAAATAACTAATATACATATATGTTGTAAATGCTGTGTAGAAATCAGACTTTAAAACGAAGCTTTTGTATTAAGCATATATAACACTTGATTTCAGTTTATTTTGCAATGATAACATCAATTTACAACATCATAACAATCAATTGTAAAACTACATCCTTATGGGAATGGATTTTCTCAAGCTTTCTGTTTCTCACTGTACTATTTCCGACATTAATCCCATAATGGAAATTTATTTCCTCCTTGAATTTAGTGGTAAATAGTTGCTTGTCATCCAATTTCAATATCAACTATGCAGGTTTTAAGAAATGGTATGTTAAGTTAGGCCCAAAAGAAATATAGATCGTATTGTCACCATAACAATGAAAACTAACTTTATGTTAAGTGTAGCATAAAGAATGGAAATTTATGGACCATGTATGGCACCTTGTGGCACTGTATATTGAATTTGTGACCAAAATTATACCTCTTAACTTGATCTAATGTAATACCTAAAATACCAATATCATTATGAGATTATCCAAGAGACTTTTGTAGTTAATTGTATCAAATGCAGCATTGGGGTTTATTAACAATATTACAGAAATGCCACCACAATAAGATAGAACAAGACGTTAGTAACTCTAATGCTATAAAATGGCTGAAATCCTGACTAGAATTCCATATACATTTGTACACTTTCATATACATATGTCTATTTTTCCTCACCTGATTTAAAGTGAAACCATCAGTTTGGTTGCAGATTCCACATTCAGTGTTTTGTGCAAATCTGCATCTGACCTGGTCATCATCTGGATCAAAGGCTAAAAGGTTGTACCTCCTGGCACAGTTTTGAGGAACTCTGCAACACAAACAAAGTGCCAATGTCATGTACATTTATATTCCTACATCATGTTGAATGCACATCTAGAATGCAGTTTTTACCTAAGAAGTGGTAGAGTGGTAGAGATTGGGGATCTGTTAGGCACTAAAGTGTCTGATCTCACTCCCAGATCAATGAAAGAAAAAAGATTCCAGAATCCGGAGTATGCGACTATGTTGTTGATCCAACAGCAACCCATTGACCTGTTGAAATAAATTGGCATTTCATATTTACATTGTTTGGTTGGGATCTATATTGTAAGTGTGTGATTCTGTTATTCCACTTACACTAACTCAAATGGTCTGTTGGTGGATAAATCCTTTGTTATGACTCCCTCAGACTGACACCAGTTGTTTCCATTGGAACTCGAATCTATTGTTCCAATCACGTTACTGACCTCATTTCCACAGTCTCCAGACATGCAGGACCAGTGGTTATACTGGGAACAGTCATTGTAGGCCATCTTGTAGCGAAGTTCCACCTGAAATAATCAATAGTTTAATAAATGACTGAAGTGAGGTCTTAAATGTATGTGATTGATGTTGAAATCTGCTGGTAAGATGTGCAAACATCTTTATTTAAAAAATACAGCACTGCAGAAAATCAAATTTTAATAGCTGTTGTTTTCACATTTCATGATTATCTAGGGTAACATTCAGTTGCCGTCATGTTCATACTACATAACCATAGATATGTACTCTAGATATCGCATACGGACCTTGAGCATGCGCCGCCACATTTGTATAGTGCTCCCAGGACAAACGTCATTCAACCGCACTAGTCAAGACTAAAGCCAATGTGAGATGCTGAACTTTAGCGCTGTGTATGGGTGTAGTATTGAACAAACAAAGAAAACAAAGCACGAAGGCAGAACATTTCAGAGGTAAAATTGAGTTTTTTACGTTCTTGGATGTTACAAACGTTTTTGCTCAATAAGTACTGAGGGTAATACAGTCATTTACTGCCCTTCCCATAAGGCAGAGGAGCACCAACTCACAATAAATACTAAGCTTATGCTAGTTTGGTTGAATAAAATAAGCAAACAATGTAAATAAAGTATGGAAACAAGATGCTGCGGTGCTAGAAACTTAACAGAGATTCGTTCACAAATGAATCGCTCACTCCGTTAGAATGAGAAGTGAAAGCAGGAGAGGGGGTGTGTTTCTGAACATGCATTAGATCAAATTTAACAGGGAGGGAGGGTAATACATTTCCATGCACACAAACACACGCTCTTTTTCAGCTATGCCCATGCGATCACTTGCGATCACATCGATGTAGAAGAGTGATGTAAAATGATCATTTTCGTAATTTAAAAAAATGTTAAGTTTGCATACTGACCACGGGGAAAGCTCCCGATCATAAATATATATGTATATATGTGTATATATCTATGGCTCCAGATGGCCAGTCCCTCACTGCACTAAAGGTGTAATCAGGCCATAAAAGTTAGGCCCGATGGCTAGGGCCAGACGGAATCTACGAACGTTTTTTGCTATTTCTGCAGAGAATTTTGATAAAAGTCTGCAGATTTCTGTGGAATTATTTTGAGAGTATTATAACTGAAACATTAATATATAAAATAGGAAATAATATATTTGTAACTTTTATTTAATGTTTAAAATGCACATCCAATTAGATCCACTTTATTTGGTAAATAAAGCAAGTCTCTCATATAAAATATCTAGTTAAAGACAGAAAATATTACTGTACAAACTGCATTTTACATAAATCAGATGAACATTTTCACATTAGTCAATAATATTACTGAAATTAATTAAAAAAACGAATAAAAATACATTTACACACATTTACTCAAGTAAAAATCTGCAGAATTCTGCTCGTGCAGATTCCGGGTGGGCCTACCAATGGGGCCCGAGTCTAACAGGATTCAGCCCGAGCTCGACAAGCACATTTTGATTGACAGCTTTTTAAAAACCTGAACCCGTTTAAAGCCCGACATTACTCAAATGTGCACATGCACACAGCTCTTTTGCCTTTTTTCATGAATGAGTGATTTATATGTATTTTAACATTATTAATTCAGAACAAACGTAGGCTATAGGCCACTTGGAAGCTTGAACAAAGAAATAAAATAAGTCCTCTGTAATATCATAACGTCTCAGCACTCTGAATAAGCCTAGGTATATACACTTAGCCGTTAAATTGGCCAACACACCAATAAAAATAAGTCTTTGCTAACAAATTAAATAAATAAAAAACTAAAGTATTTGGCAAAAACTAAATTAAGTGGGATTTGTTTTGCCACTTCTCTTCACAATCTGGCATTAAGGCAACGGTGAAGCTGAATAATAAAAGAATAATGCCAACATTAGCCTATATACTCTGTCTACATTTTGCATTTATGGTTTAATTAATATTTAGTTCTAATGTGAAAATCCTTTACTCACCAAAACTAGTCTACGTGTTTTTGTGGAGGAACATTACTGAATCCACTGTAAATGGCTTTAGCGCAGTCCTGTGCTCACTGAGCAGCACTGAACACCCTTTCACTGCTGCTGCTACTGGCCGGGATGCACTACTGATCTGGCTAATTCAGCATGTTTTGGGTAGGATAGTTTGTTTATCTTCCACAAGCCAAGAACATCCATTTCATTTTCCATGACAGTGGTGTCAATGTAGTGACATTTAATGAGTGACATCGTCATCTTCCCTGTCAGCTTGGTGTAAATTGCTTTTTAACGCTCTACCGTAATACGCAGTGTATGACTGGCTGCCGAAATACCTTGGCGGTTAGAATGACCGTTTTTCTTGAACTGGCGGCTGGCCTCGCTGCAGTCAAAATTCAATCTTTTTGACTTCTCCGTCATCATTTGTTTTACCTTGGGATGGATTTTAATGTTATAACAAACGATTTAATTACTTTCTCGTGCCATCAAAATGCATCACAAGACTGTTCATTTACTGCGCAAGCCCAAGCCTGGCCCGACCCCGTCTAAAATTATAGAAATTAAGCCCAAACCAAGGCACAGAACTTCAGCTCTACACTGCACCTTGTTTCCACATTCATTTCAAAGGAGCTACCTTGTACTCAAATGGCAGCTCTATTGACACATTCCTTCCAATAGATGGAGACATGGAATGTAAATATCTATGCTACATAACTACAAAACAAACACCGACAACTCTGTTTGGCTCACAAACACATGCGGGAACTGATAAGATTACTCAAGATTATGTGCAAGACTAATGCAAACTGCAATAAATATTTAAAATAATCTGCCATTCAAATGATTCATGTGCTGAATGCTGATTCACAGCCAAACAGCAAATAGAAAGGAACGAATGGAGGAAATGTTTGGGGGAGAGAAAATATAGTTGGAGGTCAATAAATTACTTAGCAAGTACTACTGCTGCGGCTAATCAAGCAAATGTGTCTTTGTTTTGGTTTAAATAATACTGTAAAGCTACATTTATTCAGAAATTGTGGGTCACACTTTATTTTGAGAGTATTTCTGTTGAATTTAAGTTACATTGCATCTACATGCCAACTAATTCTGATTAGATTATAAGTAGACTGTTGGGGTTAGGGTTAGTGTAAGTTGACATGTACTGTACTTGCAAAGCTTCTTATTCACCTTATTCTCCGCCGACGAGTGGGCGCTGCCATTTGAATCTCATTCACTTCTATTCATTTTTAGACATTAAAAACTGCTCGTTTCGCTGTTTGATGTTGCAATTTGATATTTTCCTATTATATTATTCTACTTGGTCTGTATAGTCAAGCAAACATTTGTTTGTAGAGCAAGTAGTTTGACCGTTTTCTGCCGTTTATTATTCCTAGTCATTTCTCCCATAGGCGACTAAATCGGAAGTTCTAAGACAATCGTGAAAACAGGCGCACTTCCACATTTTAGTATTAGGTCAACAGTCAGTTAAATGTGTGTTGAAGGAGCAGAATCAACAGATATTAAGCAGACAGTCCACTAATACTCAAATGGACCATCAAAATAAAGAGTGTACAACTCCTTCCTGAACTCTCCGCTGACCTGAATCCCGCTCTCTCATTGGCTAAGAGTTTTCTCTGATGTGTTTTTTTCCGTCCTCAATTGTAGACATGTTCAGATATTTAGCATGCCAAATATTTCACAGGCAATTCTTTCTGATCACGTTTTGATAAGTCCTGTGGACGAGGAACTGTACACATTTTCAAATTCTTTACAAAACTCAATCGGCTCATCTGAACATTTAAAGAGGCAACAAAACTTGAAATTAATGTGTCGGATAAGAAAGATAATATCTGAAATATGTACTGTTGGCATGCCTTCAAAAACAGGGTTGGGAAACACTGCTTTAAGGTATGTGGTTGATGTTGAAATCTGCTGGTAAGACGTGGCACCTTTACCTTATAGTCGAAATTACTGCCCTTTCAAGAGTTCACACTTAGCTGATGATTGATAATAAAGCTTGTTTGGCGTGCTGTCCCGGGAGAGAGCCCTGAGCTTATAAGATCCTCGAGCCATGGGCTCCCTCCCGTTGCAGAGCGAGAGGGGAGTTTGAGCTTAGGTAGATCTCGATGACTCCCCCTCATGCTTATTTGTAGCTAAGTGTCAGATATGGATGCTGAGAAGATGTGTACTCAGAGCTTGGCTAAAAATATTTTGGATTCATTGTTTAGGGTGCTTGTTTTTGAACTGTGGGAGGAAACCGGAGGACCCGGGGAAAACCCACACGATCACGGGGAGAACGAGCAAATCTCTGCACCGAAATGTCACCTGGTTTGGAAAGGAATTAAACCAGGGGCATTCTTGCTGTGAGGCAACAGTGCTAATCACAGGCCACCCTGTCGCCCGTTTGAAAGGAGCGAAAGTACGGTTGGGTGGGGGGGTTACTTCAAGATGAAGATAGGATAATTAGTCAGGAGCTAATGCTGGAACAGCTGTGAACAATCATAAGCACCTGATCCTCTCGAAATTTGTTTCTAAGTAAACTTCACTTACAAAACCAAACTGTGAAACCATCCTGGCTGTGCCAGTTGGCATTTTTATGCAGTTTGCATGTTCTTTCTGTGTTGGCGTGGGTTTTCTCTGTGTGCTCTGTTTTTCTGAATTCCAAAGACATGCAATATTGGATGTACTAAATTGGCCGTAGAGTATGTGTTTGAATGTAAGAGTGTATTGGGTTGCAGCTGGAAGGGCAGTTTATTCTGCTGTCGCAACCCCTGATAAATAAGTGACTTAGCTGAATTAAAATGAATGAATGAATATTATAGGTGAATTTATCTCTTAATTATTCATTTATAATCTGAAAATATGCACATTGGATGTTAATAATTTTTATTGGTAAAATAATACTTTTAATTACTAATGCTTCTAGCGTTGATGTGCTAATCATGTTTATGGGGGCATTTGAGGATTAATCTATAGGGATTAGTACAAGTTTTAGCTCTATTTAGAGCATTTTAAATAAAAATATTAATTCCCATATCATATTTTATGCATATTTTTTGTGGTATATTACAATAAAAATGCTGGATGGAAAATCCAAGATGTATGGAAGCCTGTTTCAAAAATATACAAATCAACTTAATGCAACTTTTTATCTCAGAATCTTTAAGTTTTTATCTTGAAATTTTGACTTTGTTACCCCGGGGCAATTGTTACTTTTCATATAAATGAAAAAGTAGTATAAAAGTATTATTACTAAAATAATATTATGATCGGGAATGTGGCTAAACACACACATATATTTGGGAATAGCCGAAGACATAAGATAAAGATTGAGATAATGAAAGTGATGCAGTTAGATTTATCTTTTACTCTCTTGTTTTTCTTGCTTGAAGGGATGTATATAATAAAAATCATATATATATATATATATATATATATATATATATATATATATATATATATATATATATATATATATATATATACAGATATATTCTACATATACTTTTACTAAGTGCAAACTGTAACAATAAATTGGATGAAGCCGCACCCTCCAACAATGGCAAAGTGGATAAAAAACTGGAATATATGACTACCCAACTTATAGACCTTTTTTAATGTGGTCATGTCATTGGCCCGTGAACATTTCCTGCTTGTTATCAAGCTATTTCATAACTGTAAGAAGAGGCAATTCAATCATAACTTAATGATAAAACAGCTACCATAACATTATTTATCAATATGTGGCTATTTTTGGATTCTCTGAGGCTATAGATATTAGACATGTAAAATTGTTTTTTTTACATCCCTCAAATGCATATGCTCACGGACTTTTAATTTTCAACCAGCCAGCCCAGGGGTTTTCCTAATGGTCTTTCCATTACAAAATTGTTCTATTTAAGATCCGATTTCTTTAAAAACCAGCGATCTTCACTGCCTGATAGATATACGATAAAGTGGGTCTCAGATCTGTTTCTGCGCCAGCCTGTTGCTACTTATGGCACTAATGGTTACAACAGTCTTTTATCTTGTTTTACGCTTGAACAACTAAATGAATGCTTAAGTCTATTGAACTGAATGAATTGTAATTACGTTACAACATCGATGCTGTAAAAACAACCATGTGAAATTGAAAATAGTCACATTAAGCTTTCACCTGAAGTTCATCGTTGGCTTTAAAACTACACTGCTGTCACTAAATGTTTATTCATTCATTATTTTTCTTTTCAGCTTAGTCCCTTTATTAATCTCGGGTCGCCACAGCGGAATGAACCACCTCACTGAATGTTTTGTTCTGTAAAATGTTTTAATGTATAAAAATAATG